TTTGTAACCCAACTTTGTACATATGGCATAACTCGGGGAAATAACAGGGATGGAGGTGACATGATTGTGTGGCAGACAATAATTGGGTGTTGTGTGTTTTTCTTCAAACTGTCAAATCATATATTAACATGTATCACTTGTCATTGAGTCTATTGCTGAGCCATCGTTGTAGCATGACTCAAAAAAGAAAGCAAAGAAAGAATTCATGTCAATCAGCCCTCGGTATTATCTTATCAACTTAGCAATGAAATCAACATTGATTGCATAAGAAAATAAACACCCCGTTAAAAGAGATGAGTTGTTATAAGTTTCGACAAAGCAAATTATAAAGATTATTGACAACACTCTTCATCTCATAGGATATCGTCCAAATGGAGACAAACTATGCTTGAAGCGTGGAGTAGTGATGGAGATCTACAAAATAGAAAGCAGTTTTTATGCACATAATTCTTTTCATTTCCAACATGTTGTCTTGTTGGGATTAGTTCTCTCAGTTTCAAGACAATGGAGCCCTCATATTCTTGAGGGCAGTCTTGTTCCCTCGAGACAACTACCCTAAACCCCATTAACCTTTTTCAAGAAACTCCAATTGATTATGGTTTTCGCACTTTTCAATGAAGAGATCTCAATAAGTACACAAAATAAAACAAATAATTTACATTAAAAAAGCAATAAATATCATGCCATGTTCAAGAACTAAATATGGGCCCTAGTACTCGCATATAAATTCAGGAGCTAGCCTTCATCAGCATTTAAGTATTAAGTTCTCTTCAAAAGGAAGTAGAAACACAAAGAAGTTCGACAATCCATTCCCTATTCATTAAGAGTTCCAAATCTGTCAATATTTCCAGATTTCTCTTAAATTCTCGTTCTTTTGTAGCAAGCCTGAGCTCAAATGAGGCCGTTGCTGCTCGTTTCTCTGCTTCTTTTATCGTTCCTAACTCAAGAAGCTCATGGTATGTCGAAAATTCCTAGTATGGGTGTTCGAATTTTATGAATATGTGAGTATTTATGTACTGATTATATTTGCTATGCTAATTGATGAAGGAATACGCTTGAGAAAAGGATCTTTACCAGCTAGACATCCTATTGTCCATGTAAGTACTACACTTGCCCTCCGCGTGCAGACTTTCTTGAGTGGGAAATAGAATCGAGTCCAATGTGATGAGAAATTTGTTGTTCGATGCAGGGAGAAAGTCTTCGAGAACTAAACAGAAATAACAACGGTGTCGAAGAAGCTGTTACTTGCAAAGGCAGGCGTTGCTCAGGTACAAAGAAGAGGAAACTTTCTAAGATTATGAAGGATTCCCATCATTGGTTACCAAGTATCCATGAAGATTACTACGGTCCAAGAAGTCACAAATCTAAGCACCATTAAGTCTTTTCTCTACGATTCAGACATTTCCTCATTAAATTTTGACACTAATTACCTTTCTTTGTGGCGGTTTTACTAGAGCAGAAATTAGATTAGGACCAATGACCCTATTCTTCGTTTGGTTGAGACGATTAGATAGCAGCATTTATCTTCTTCAGTTGTAAATTTTTGAGGGATTTAATGAAACTTTATTTCAAGAAAGGTGTATGGCTCAATTCTTTGCACGAAAAAATTATTTCAAATGACTTCATCTGGTATTTGCAGGAAGGAGTGGAAAACTTGTCACCAATAAAGTACCTAATTCTAGCACTACCGCCATTGTTGAGGTTGGTTATATATCATATATTTTAAGTTCAACGAATAAATTACATTAAACGAGAACTCTCATTTTTCTTGTTTACCCTAATATGATTTTGGACGTTCGTTTTTCAGAATTACAAGAATGAGGACTCTTCCATTAGTGAAAAATTAGGTGGGAATGAAGAAAATAATTCACCGGACAAACCTCGGTCAATTCCGAAGTCCTATCCAGACATTTTAGACATAGCTGGAATGGATTATTCTCAGACAGCAAGAAAACCTCCGATACACAATTAAGATAGACAGAAATTTCCGTCGCTAAAGCTCTGCACGTAGAAGGAAGTTCAAAAATTAAATATAAGATTTTGGGAAAAGGGTTTCCCTTAATTGATGAGAAGGGGAATAGATGTCGGACAGCACTACAGAAATGCTGCCAATTTTTAGGGTTAGGAAGATATTACTGTCTGTCATTAATTAGTAGATTATTAGTTAATGATGATTAAATCATAAGCACCTAAAGTGTAAAGTAGCCTTGTAATATAAATTAATACTCTTTGCAACTACAATTGTACGGTTTAATTATTTTCTCTTCTGTCTGCTAACCTCTAGCCCAGTGGGACCAAATTCTTAGGAATAATGCCACGTAGCCCACGAGGGTTCCAAGTTTAAGTGGCTTCACTTATCATTTAACCTAAACTGAGATTACAATTCTAGTGGTGCTAAATAGCATTACTCAATTATTACAGAATGTCATCTTCTCATTTAATGTTCACACTTTAATTGAATACAATCATAAGAAATCATCAGTTGAGTTATTTCATCGACAAGTTTATGATAAAATTATTTCTTTAAATTGTATTTTACGAACATCATCTCAAATGCAAGTCCTGTTAAGGGATAGAATCATACTTCGAATGAATATGAAAATATAGACCAATTCATAAGGATTTTGACTACCCGTTTTAATAAGGTCGACATTTTAAGATAAAACTCAAAATCTAAACATGGTATCGGGGTCTATTAAGTTACAATGAGCAATTTGATCTGATTAAGACTGAAAAAATGAGCACCCTGAATTTAAGATTAGTATGCTCAAACGAGCTACCATCTTGGACATGTTAAGGGATACAATCCAACATCAAATACAGAATGCATCAAACATAAACCAATTTATAAGGATTTGTGTTGCTTTTTTTAGTAGAGCTAACATTTTAAGATGGAATCTCAAATATTAACAATACTGACTTATTATTTTGATTGAAATGAAAGCCATTTCTAAATACTTGTGAGGTGATTACGAATGCGTTTTGTTTTATATTCTTCAAGTCCTTGTTCTTTATGCTCTGAATGCCGTTCCTAGTCCTCGGTTTCGTTTGCGGTCAAACGATTGGATGCTTCGATTTTGAGAATCCTAAAAAAGTCTTTCTTTACTGAAAGAACGATTTATACTGGGGTAAATGATCTAGATCTTTGTCTTTTTAATTAATTTAGGGATGACGTAGCAATTAACTCCATGGTGGAAGTCCACGTCATCCACCGTTAGCTTTAACGTCAAGTTCATCAACTTTTGTTACATATTCTAACATCCTACTTGCAGAGTGATCTAATTGCTGACAATGGAATCGGTGATTCAATTGAGGGTTGAGATGAAACTTAGCCCCAGTTTGATGGTCCATTATTTGGTTAAAACAATATTTGGAATAATGATTTTTATGAGGATATATAATTAAAAATTAGATAAAAGTTTTGAATTTACGTATGAATATTTTATGTTTGAATATGTGATTGAAAATAAGTATGTAGAAAAAAAAAATT